AATCTTCACTATGACTCAGACTGTTCAAAGCAATTGCTTCACCACATTTTCCTGGGGTACAGTAGCCTGGCTAGACTCTTGAGTTCCTTCTCTGAGGTCTTCTCCTATGGATTAAATTGTGGCCAGGTAGTACCGAACTAGTTTCCCCAATTTCAGTTCTGCTCACTCTGAGAATTTTTCCTTTCTTTTTAACTTTTTAAGAATTGGCTTATTCATTTGTGTGTATGCATATGTGTTTATATATGTGAGTACCGGTGTGTGGGGCACATACGGGTGGACCCACGCAGATGGAAGCTGAATGTTGGCATCTGATGTCATCTTCGATGGATGAACTGCTAGAGGTGATGATGGAGCCCTAAGCATGTTTTTCCCTAGGTAACAGTCACTAATTTTTAAGTGTTAGGTTGTAGGTTAGATGACTAATCACATGAAGGGAATTCCCACCTTCCTCCTAAGATCCCACAAAGGAAAAGTTGAAGGGAAAAGGAAAGAATAAACTGAATGAACTAAGTAAAGTTGTGTCTTTGGTGTGTTTTATGTGTGTGGTTATAAGGCTTGGACCAGGAACCTTAAAAATCAATCATTCCTTCAGTGTCTGTGAGCTCAGGTGGTGGAAGTGAAGGGTGTGAAGTGGGGGGAGTTGTATGAGGCTGCTGGTATTCCTGCCCATATAAAATATAATTCATAAACACATTTCTAAAGTTAGAGTAATTTCTGGAATCTGAGCACAAGATGACAGTTGGCTCAGGTTTAACTTTTCATCAATATATCTGTTTCTCCGTTTCTGCTGTGAGACCATAATAGCTATTAATCTCAATATTTCTAATGTTTTTTATTCTTGGCTACTTTTCTGACATATTAGTTCTTAGCAAGAAAAAAAATGGCTTAGTAACAGTAGACACGGGCGCCACTATCTCTTCACAGCTCACTAGGTTCCGTAATAGATAATGGCGTAATTATTTTTTGAGTTTTAAAAAAATCCAATTGGAATGCCTGCAGGTGTATGTACATTTATTTGGTTTGGAACTTATTTTTTAGCATAATTCATTTACTATATTTGGTATGACGGGTCCAAATGAAACCAAGCATCCAGAGGAAATTATTTTTTAATACAGACTCATAACCCAGGTATTAAGAATGCTTCTTTTTCTCTCACCCACAGGCAGTAAGGCAGTTTTTCTTCTCAAACCCATTAACTTCATCTATAAGGGATATTTATTCTCTTTCCCCTAAGATTTACTCAGTTTCTGTGGTGGTGTTCTGTGTCTCGAAACACTGCAGAAGAAGGCCAAGGCTGTCCATACTGGTCACACATTTACTCCCTGAAAACATCCAATTCTTCCTCGGGACCAGGCATGACTTTAAGCACTGGGGGTACAGCCATGAATACAGTCAAATGCACATCCTCTGCCCCCTGGAAACTGTCATTCTAGTGACATAGCCGAAGCATAAACACACATTGTCTTTCTCAAATTGTGCTTAATGGAGCCCATCTCTTTGCCCGATCTTTGCTTAGCACCCTGTCTAAAGGATGCCCCATTATTTCTTGCGTCTTACTTATAAAGTATGCAGGTGTGAGGAGCCAAGAGTCTGTGTTAGATGCACACTTGGTTTTCTTTTCCCTTTCCCTTTGCTTTCCTATCCTTTCTTTTTCTTTTCTTCTTTTCTCTTCTCGAGTGAAATACCAAATAGATAAGATCATGATGTTGTAGTAATTCTCAGAATTGCAATCCCTCAGGGCAACACAATGAACTCCAGACAGTGCTTGCATGTGCAATGGATTGCCTTATGAGAGAATAACACCTTCTCTGTAAGTTCATATGTACAATGTCCATGCTGTGTCAAGAAGACATTGTTCCCTTAGAATCTTCCACCACCTCTAGCTCATACAATCTTTTCCTTCTGTCGTCATTATAGATTCCCAAGTCTTGAGAAAATGAGTTTGGTGGCAATATGTCATTTAGGACGGTACAATTAAACATCTCCCACTCTCTGCACATCGTCCAGTTCTGAGTCTCTTTGTCAATTCCCACCTACTGCAAGAAGAGGCTTCTCTGATGGGGACCAAGGGAGACACTAATATATGAGCACAGGAGAATGCAAATCCTACACAGGTTCAAGTCGGAAAAGGTCCCAGCACTGAGAGAAGGAAGTGAACATAGGGTCCCACTACTCACGAAAAAACTGTCTTTAGTTGATACCTGTTGGCAAAGAAAAAAAAAATCCATGTTTCGCAATAGAGTGTCACTGGATAGAATATAGCACAAATGTCACAAAACAAACGACTTTAATGGTATTTTTGTGAACATTTGTTTCATTATGGTTTCATTTGAACTTTTTTTTGTCTTACTGGTCTTTTACCTTCTCTGATTTTCATTTTGTGGAATTTTCTGTTTGCTTTTTGCTGTTTTTTCTTAGTTTTTTGTTTTTGTTTTGTTGTGTGTGTTTTGTTTTTTGAAAAAGTGAGACAGACAGTGAGAACATAAAGTTGGGTGAGTAGGGAGGTAGGAAGGATCTAGGAGGAGTGGTGGGAGGGAAAACATGATCAAAAATATTGTGCGAAACTATTTCAGAAGAAAAGGGATTAGTAGAGGGGCCAGCAGTAGCGGATCGTCAGCTAATAGGGATCAGTGCTTGTGGGTGTTCACAATAATTTTATCTTTTAATCCCAAGTCTTTTCTCAAAAGATCGACAGGAAAACTAGCGATGGTGAAATTTAAATGGTGAATGGAATATAAGAGCTTCCTGGTCTCTGTAGATGGTTACATGAACATGTAGCTTGCAAATATAGAAGAATACATTGATTGTGCTTTGGGCATCCAGGTGAAGGTCTACTAAAGTGTATTAATGTCCTTTATATTAGGGGCACTAAAGAAGAAGAGGAAGATGAGGAAATGAGAGAATAGCATCTTTGGGGAAATATATACATAATATATATTCATTGTATAATATATAACTATATGTGCTATATATTAATATATTATATATTTATGTTTATGCATTAGAGCTTTTTTAAGTAGGAGATTATCATCAGTTTAAGAAGCTTTGATTTTGTGTAGGAGTTGCTTGTAACTTGTAGCTCTGATCCTCCTGCCCTGAGACATTCAACATCTGTGCATCTAAGCCTTGTCTTTTTTATCACTGTAAAATATGCCTAATATAGACAGGTGCTACAATAATAAAAATAAAAGTTGCTAATGTAGACAGAAAAACATGTTTGCTCTAGCATATACTTTGAGCTTTCTTTTCACACTCAGTTGGCCTAAGATGTTGGACCTGTGAGGAGGCACACATCATGACAGGTGTGCCTGACAGGGTGAAGCTGTTTACCTCATCCCAAGAAGGCAAGGATTGATAGAATATAGCATATTGATAGAACATAGAACATAGCATCCTATGATGCCCTCTGAGTGCCAGCTGCAATAGCATAGAGTCTCTGCTATACTCCACTTATTCTTTTATTTGCATTTTAATTTTTTTTATTCTTTGAGAATTTAATACAATGTCTTTTGATCACAGTCACCCAGTCTTCGACTCTCACTCCTTCCAGATCCAAGCCTACCTCTTTTCCTACCCTTTTCATAACATAACACCCCCTTCCCAGTTTGCACTACTTCTATAACCCCAGATGTGAAGCTCTTTGTGGAGCATTTTTGACCTATGCACAGCCATACCCTTAGTAAAAAGTGACTCTTCCTTCCCCAGAAGTCAGCAACTGTCCATAACTGCTCAGTTAAGGTGGGAGGCATTTAAGTGTCTCCCTCCTCCATCATAGAATCCTGACTAGCTTGATCTTGTGCAAGGCTTGTGTAGTGTACCATAACTGTTAATTCACAAGACTAGAGGTTTCCTAGTATCCAGAAAACACTGTAGAAGTATAGGTAGTCCGTTCTTACATCTCCTTCTTACAGTCTTTTCGATCACTGTTCTGGAATGGTCCCCAAGTCTTGGGATAGAGTGTGATACAGATATATCGCTGTAGTTGAACTCCTAACAGATACTTCTTCTCTGTATTTTGACCAGTTATGAGTTTCTGTATTGACTATCATTCACTGTGTGAAAAAACATCTCTGGTGATGTCTGAGTGTATCTCACTTTTTAAGACTTTCACCCTTCTCCACCTAAGGACCAAATCTTTTACAGATGTCCACACAAACACACTGGGCATGGAAACTTGAGCACCTTTACCATCAGTAAAGAAATTATCTTTATTGAAAGGTATCATTCATCTCTAAATATTTTTTGTATAACTCACTTACCAACCTCATTCTTTGTAAGGTGACCAGCCTATGCAAACATTCTTTAAGCTGTGTCTGTAACAAGTGAGTCATTATTTGTTAAATGAGTATGAATGCATGAATTCATGTCCCAGGAATGTGAGTCTTCATTTATAATAATAAGAGGGATGCTGTTTTAGTTATTCACCTGAAGTGGTGTTGGCTCAAAACAGAAGCTCAGTAATTATTGGTTGAATGTTTCAATGAGGTTAACCTGAAGATGATGTTCATGACATGGTCATGATTTTACACCTCTTCTTCTATAGATAATAATTTGGATACTTGAGGACACGATGCTCCAGAGACACCATGGATAGACTACATATCATGTCTACTCCAAGTGTATTTAATAAAACAAGCATTTTTTACTTGTATATCTAGAAAATATTACTTTCTAAATTTATAACATTCTTGATACAACTTTGGTTTTGCTCTGTGTGATGATAAATGTTAGAATTATAAAATGTTCACAGGTTATAATAAAGTCAGAGAAACTAGAAGGCATTAAGTATTAACTGAAGATGTACAAAGTATATTGACTTCTCAAACCAGAGAATTCTGGAGGAAAACAATAAAATCAAAAGCAATAGCAAACAATCGAAAACAAATGACCTGCCAACCTACGTTCCCCAGATGCCCGTCTTTTAATCTATTTTATGTTTACTAACATCTTATGGAATGTAGACATGGAACAATATTTTTTAAAAATATAATTGCCTTTTACAGTCCTTGATTCACTTGATGTGTTTCTACTTTCACGAAAAAACTTGCACTTCCTCAAAGGCCTATCAGGAAAGAGTCTTCATAAAATCATAGTGGGAATCAGAGAGGTCTTTATGTCAGAGTCATCCCCAGGTACCCAACAGGGTATCACATTCCTAGAGGGAAGATTTGGAAAGAATTGCAGCATATGTGTAGAACTCAAAATTCCAGGGGCAAGACCTCTATTTTAATTTTTTATTGATTTTATTGAGCTATATATTTTACTCTGCTCCCCTCTTCTCTTCCTCTCCCCACCCCTTCAACCCTCTCCCATGGTCCCCATGCTCCCAATTTACTCAGAAGATCTTGTCTTTTTCTACTTCCCATGTAGATTAGGTCCACATAAGTCTTTCCTAGGGTTCTCGCTGTTGTCTAGGTTCTCTGGGGTTGTAAATTGTAGGCTGGTTTTTCTTTGCTTTATGTTTAAATGCCACTTATAAGTGAGTACATGTGATATTTGTCTTTCTGGGTCTGGGTTACATCACTCAATATGATGTTTTCTAGATCCATACATTTGGCTGAAAATTTCAAGATGTCATTAATTTATTCTGCTGTGTAGTACTCCATTGTGTAAATGTACCACATTTTCCTCATCCATTCTTCAGTCGAGGAACATTTATGTTGTTTCCAGGTTCTGGCTATGACAAACAATGCTGCTATGAACATAGTTGAGCACATGTCCTTGTAGTATGATTGAACATCCTTTGAACATATACCCAAAAGTGGTATTGCTGGGTCTTGAGGTAGGTTGTTATCTAATTTTCTGAGAAATCACCATACTGATATCCAAAGCAACTATACCAGTTTGCAATCTGACCAGCAATAGAAGAGTGTTCCCTTACCAGGGACAAGACTTTTGTAGAGACAGACAGTATTGGTATTTGATTCTGACTCTTAGCACAACCAGGAGCTTTCCTTAAAACATTTATTTTAAGATTGTACTGAACAATTACGTTAACTCTATATAAACTGAAGTCTTAGTTAGGAATCATTCCTCAGTTGAGAAAATGCTTCCAGAGATCAGACTGTAGACAAGGGTGTGGGGCATTTATTAATTGGTGATTGACAAGGGAGGGCCAACCCAAAGTGGGTGGTACCATTCCTGGGAATCATCCTAGATTCTGTAAGAAAACTGACTGAGAAAGTTATAGGAGCAAACTAGTAAGTGGTGCCCTTCTATGGCCTCTGCCTCTGCTCCTGCCTGCGGGTTCCTGCCCTACATGAGTTAGTGCCCTGACTTCTTTCAATGATATACAGTGATATGCCAGTATACGTATAATATAATGCAGAAGTGGATTCAGTACAACTTTGAAAATCCCCCTAATCTATAACAGTCTCAAACTTGTACAATGTTCAAGCTTATAGATTCAATATCAGTGTCTATTTAAAAGTCTGAAGTTCAAAGTCACTCCTGAAATGCATGCAATCTCTTAACTTTAAAACCTTTTTATATTCAAAGAGCAGATCACATATTCCAACATACATACAGTGTCACAGGATATCTATTACCATTCCAAAACAGAGGAAAGGCTGCATAGTGAGGAAGTGTTTGGTCAAAGTGAGACCAAAAACCAGTTGGGCAAACTTCAAACTCTGCATCCCAATGTCTGATGTCAAAGCTGTCTTCACATCTCCAATTCCTTCCACCTTTGTTGATTGAAGCACACTTCTTTCCCTTGGCCTGGTTCTTCTCCCTTTTATCAGCGTTCCCTGGCAGGTGTCCCATTCTGGCATCTTCAGCATCTTGTGGTCTCCAAAGCCAATTTTCAGGCCTTCGCGTCACTGCTTCACCTGGTTGTCTCTCTTGGCCTCCATCCATGGTCATCCCTGATACATGCCTGACACCAGCAGCTTTCCCTAGTCATAGAGAGAAATTCTATAACCCCTTTATTGTATCTTTCACTCTAAATCCAGGACCACGAGGGCAAAACTGCAAAGTTCTGTGGCTTGCTGGGACTAGAGCATTGCTCCCTCATTTAGTTATATCTTTACTATCTTTCTCTTTTCTATGGTTTCCTTCACTGCCCAAGCTAAGCTGCCCTGGAATTTGTTCTGTAGACCAGGCTGGCCTTGAACTCAAAGATCTCTGTCTCCTGAGTGCTGGGATTAATAGCATATATCACCACTCTTGGACCTAAACTGTCCTTTAATTTCTTTTCACAAGTTGAAAGCTTATTGGGGTGGGATCTTGCTCTAGTAATATCACTCCCTTTATTCCATTTAACTTCAGGTTTTTCTTTAATTGGTTTATCTCCTTGAACACAGGACTTCGCTGCACTTCATTTCCCGGTACTCCTTTTCTTCTCAAATTGTACATTTTTTGTTTTTACTTATTAACTTGCTCCTTTTCATTGTAAATCTTCACTAGAATTAACACTAATTATCACAAAACAGAGTCTATTCTAGGCTTTTCTACCCTCAGGCAGACATTTGGGATGAGGGCAAAAACCAGCCACATTCTTCGTCAAAATATCACAGGAATAGTCTATAGGCCATGTATTAATATTCTTTTCCTCTCAAATCTCATGAACCAGGCCAACACAACTCAAATCACCATGAGCCCCACTGTCTTCCATGTTCTTACTAGTGTGGCCCATTAAGCAATACTTAAAGCATTCCACTGTATTCTTCATCCAAAATTCACATTCTTCTAAGTATGATCAGGACTATTACATCAAAACCCTACTCCTGGTTCCAACTTCTGTCTTAGTTTGGGTTTTTATTGATGTAAAGAGACACCATGGCCATGACAATTCATAAAAAGGAAAACATTTCACTGAGACTGGTTTGCAGTTTGCAGAGGTTTAGACCATTTTCATGGTGGAGTCCAGGTAGACATGGTTCTGGAGATGGAGCCAAGGGTTTTGCATCTTGATCCACAGGCAGCAGAAGCAATTGTGTACTGGGGAGAGCTTGGGTGTATATGATACCTCAAAGTCTGCCCCAGAGTGCCACCCTTCCCCCAGCAAGGCCATGCCTCCTAATAGTGTTACTCCCTATGGGCCAAGCATTCAAACACGTAAGTCTACGGAGGACATACCAAGTCACACCACCACAACAGATGATTAGGTTAGGTTGGGCATCCTTGGGCCTTTCTTTTCTGTTAATAACTAGGTTTTCTTAACCAAGAAAAAAGAGAAAGGGCTTTCAAAAGATATGAGAATTAATGGCACATGTTCTGAAAAAAAAGAATCCAAGGTTTGGATTTTCAACATTTTCAAGTTAATTCACATAAAATCCTATCTTGTCACCCTAGGCACCTTTTCTGACAAGCAACTATTTTCATTAACTGCTTCCAAGGTTGGTCAAGGGAATGTCTTTGGCAGGGTGGGTATTTTATAGGGGGGTAGGCCCAGGTACCATTGCCGATGTTTTTCCCCATGTCCTATAAGCTGCTGGTAGACCACAGTTCCTAAATTACAAATGCCTAATTTCTAAGACCCTCATCCCTCACTTCCTTACTCCTGTAGACTTCTATTTGTGATTTAAGCAAGTTTTGGAATGGTAATGTATATCTTGTGACATTGTATGTAGAAATACGTGATCTGCTCTTTGATTATAAAAGGATCTGAAAGTTAAGAGGCTGCATGAATCTCAGGAGTGACTTTGAACTTTGGACTTTTAAACAGACACTGATATTGATTCTATAAACTTGAGTACTGTACAAGTTTGAGACTGTTATAGATTAGGGGGACTTTTGAAGTTGTACTGAATCCATTTCTGCACTATATGTATTATTTGAAGCTTGGCTATCAGCAGAAGGTTTCAGGGCTGGAGGCGGGGCAAGGGTTCCTCTTGCTAAGTAGGAATCACATTTATAAATAGCCACCTGCAGTTGCTCATGAAATGACCCAGTGGTTTCGGGTGCAGAGCCCAAACTGAGGGCAGCCTGTGCTAGCAGGGTGAGCACCTGGACCCAAGCCAGCTTTTCCAGCTAGCAGGCCAGTGTGAAATCAAAGCAACTCATGTTGATGGCTCTGACAGAAGGTGCCATGCACAAATTAGAATTAGTTCAGAAATTAACTGCCAGATTATTAATTTGGAAGGAGCGTTCACAGTGCAGTTTCTTCTTTCTCAGTTTCGGGCTGAGCTTTCTTGTCTGTTGATACTAATCTTGCTACTTCCTCTGACTCCTTGGCACAACCCCAGAGACTCAGAAAGTTCTTGCTGGGCGAGATTCAGAAGGAAGAGATAACCAAGCAGGTTTTTGCTCTTTTGAGTTTCTAGTGTGGATTCGCTATCTATTTCTCTAGCTTTCTGAACAGTTAACTTGTCAATCTTTGAATCTCAGGTGACTGATTTGTAAGTCACAGACAGGAAAAAGACATTAGAATGATTAGGACTGCTAACATACCAGAATCTTTAAAACATAGTCTTTTGTGTTAAAACTAATTAGTAAATAAATTATACATTAAGACACTTATTTGACTACAAAAGGTCCCTATAGCTCTATTTCATTCAGAAGTTACATATCAATATTTTGTTTGACAATAATTAAAATTGAACTTCCTGTTTATATTCTGTTTTGTTTGTCTTATAACTCATATGTGTTGTTATAAAATCTTTTTAACCTACCACTTATTAATTTCCATATCAATAACCTATATATAGGTCTTTCTTTTTAAGGACTGTATAGTATTCCTTTGGTGGTTATGAGGTTATTTATTCATGTACTGTTTTATCAGTATTTATTTGTATTGTTTACAACTATGAACTCTTAGAAAAAGAGCTATGACAGATGTCATTCTAGTCACATCTTTATAGTCATATCTAAATATTTCTACCAGATAAATTCTTTGAAAAAGAAATTTCTAATTCAAAGGCCCAGGATTTTTTTTTCAACAACTACTTAAGATGCAGGGTCACCTAGGCAACAACCTCAAATCAGATTTTGTCTTGGAGTGAGAATTTCTTCTGTCTGTGATGGCCAGAAAATTAGGGAATTTCCAGAACCGCAGTTCTGATGGGTCTCTTTGCTTCTTATCCAACAGGCAGGCCTAAAATGACTCTTTTCTTGCTCATTTTTATGGGTGATAATGTGCACCTCCCACCTGGCACTTCCTTCTATTTCTCTACAGCTGTAACAAGCACTTATAAGACCAGCAAATCTAGGTTA